GAAACCTACAAGTTGCCCAACCCGAAGAAGTCTTCCAGAGCGATCGAGTCCACACCTTCGAAAAAAGAACGAACAGGATCGTCAGCTCCATGGGCCCCTTCGTTGGATCGCTCCTTCGCTGCTCGGGCTTCGTCAAACATGGACTCGATCAATGAAGGCGACCCCAAAATCTCTGACACCGGGCGGAGCGAAGCCGGTATCTCGAGAGGTCTCAGCCCTCATCTCTACATCGGCCTTCCGAACCTGAGGGGGATCAGCCTCCACTGTTTCCCCCTCGGCTGTCGCCCACTCTTCGAGGGAGGTCGTCTCACGGGCCACAAAAATATCATCTTCCTCGGGCTCATCCTTTAGCCGATAAAGCGAGACTGAGTCGGGTGCTCGAGAGCTAGAACTCTCCTTTGGCTTACGGGCCAACCTTCTCCTTGGCTTCTTCTTCTTTGAGCTCGGGGAACCCAGAGCCTTCCTTTTCTTGTTCTCTTTTGTTAGGGGTGGGCGTCAGTCGGTTCGGTTCGATTTAATCGGTTTTCGATTTTTCATTTGGTGCACCAATAACCGAACCAATATTAGTTCGATTTTATCGGTTTTCCTTAGTTCGATTCGGTCAATATTCAATTTGGTTAGGTCGATTTGAGGGATTTTTGTTTGAGCTTTTTCTACCAAAAAAAGGCCTTTAAATTTAGTTTTTTACAATTAACATTTTCTAAAAGCTAATTGGACATTTTCTCCAGTTAATTAGTTAAATACTAATAGACCACAAACTCACAAAGATGAAAAAAGAATGAGGCCATACGTTCAACTTTCTTATGAAACTCCTTGGAGCAACTTCAGTACATTTATAACTATGGATATTATTTCAAATATAAATTATTTTCATTTCGCCAAAATAAAAATTGGAAACTAAATACGTATCATAAAATATGAATAGCAAGGAATACAACAGTAGAAAACAAAAGGCACAACTTAGTGTTTATATCTGCTATATTTTGCTTTTCACTTAAATAGGAACCCTCTAAACTGGAACTAATCTTGAATGAGAAAATAGAAANCTAATAGGTGAAGAAGAGCCCACCAAAACCTATACACTAAAATTTCGGTTTTTCGATTTAACCGAAAATTGGGGCACCAAAACCGAAAACCGAATCGATCACCGAACTTTTTAAAAATATAAACCACAAACCGACCGAAAAACCGAAAAAAACCGAAATTATCGGTTCGGTCGGTTTTTCCGGTTCGGTCGATATTATGCCTACCCCTATCTCCTGTTGCAACCCCGAGCTGCCCCAAAGCAAAGGGATCAACGGACAGGTCTTCGTCCCATACCGAAGGCCTAAGCTCAATGGTCTTAGGCAAGCCTACGAAAAGAAAAGAGAAGAAATGAGAATATGATGCTAAAAGGGGAGCCTAATGTTACTTATTCGAGAGAGAAATCTTACCGTGAGAACGGGCCTCCCAGCGGCCCTTCGAGAGATTGCGCCATCTGCGCTCGGAACAAGGCATCTTCGAACAAATGCCCTCGATCCACTCCTTGAAACGAGGAATGGCATTTGGTACTCGAGCAACAACTGCACCACCGCAAATACTGGTGAGGAAAAAAGAGATGAACGTAAAATCAACATTTAAAGGAAAGTTGTTGTTACGTGATACATTCCACTTCTCGCGGAATGGCATAAGCTCGGAATGGATCAAGTCTGCGGTCTTCACCCGGACAAAGCGTCTCTGCCAGCCCCGATCCCAGTCCTCATCGATGCTCGAGAATGGGGCTTTGCTAGCCCGGTGTGTGAGCTTTATCAGTCCCCCTCGGAAGATTCGGGGACTGTATAGGCGGAGAAGATGATCGATGGTGAACTGACAAGATTCGATCTTGTTCACAAAGTATCGAAGAAAGATTACGATCCTCCACAGCAACGGGTGGATCTGACCGAGGCATACTTCATACCTCTTGCAAAAGTCCAGAATAACCGAGTCCACCGGGCCCAATGTGAAGGGATAAGTGTAAACACTCAGATAACTCTCCACATGGCTAGTAATGGCGTCCTCGGGCCTGGGGACAACTACGTCCTTATCCGCCCAGCCGCAGTCCTTTCGAACAACAAGAAGGACGTCTTCGGTGATGGAGCAAATATACCTATATACCGCCTCACATCGGCCCTGCACCGACGAGGGCTTTTCGACCTTAGAGTCATCGGCGACCGAGCACCCCCCGGGGACGAACATTTTCAAGGGAGGCTCGGAAGCTGGTTCATCGGTAGCCGCGCCCAGAGCGGATCTCTTAAGGACGACCACATCGGGAATGGTCTCCTCGACTTCAGCGATCGATTGTGAAGAAGAGGAAGCAACCTTTTGGGGAACAGTTTTGGAAGTTTTAGCCATTATTATCTGGAAAAAGCTTGAAAAATATGAAGAAAGGTTGGAAGATGAAAGGTCAAGTGCGCTGGTTTGGGTAGAAAATAAGTAAAAGCTTGCAATTTACTGAGAAATCTTGAAGAACAGAGATAAAAATGTTAAGAGTATGAAGAAAGGCAGTGAAATCCTAAAGACTCGAAAGTAGAAGCTTGGTCAAAAGATAAAAAAATGAACGAAGGAGAGGGGTATTTATAGAGGCTTCGCGTCGTTTCACATAGAGGGATGACCTGCCGATTGTTGACACGCGTTTGAAGTCATAATGACACAACTGACGGGACGTTTTAGATTCTTTGTCGTTTCTGTCACGGCGTATTGAAGAAGGAATCGAAGTGCACATGTCGTTTCTCGTCGTTTCCGTAAACTCTCCGAGAAACGAGGGGACTATCTGTATACGGGTGAAACCGAGCCCGCGGGACGCCTCGGTTTTCAATGAAGTAAACGAAGCAAGAAACGTGACTGCAAGGAACCGGAATTGAGACAAAGAGCCCTCGAGTCGGGGACCAGGCAAAACGCCTGTCCTCGAAAGCATCGGGGCCACGACCCCCAGGTTCGATTCGAATCCCAAAAAACCTCGAAGAGCATTACCAGATAATCGAGCACGACTAACAAAGGGCCGTGATATCCATGACCAGCCCGATGTCACGGCGTGAATCTCGACACATAACGGCAGAAAATCGGTGATTAGTAAAACGGTAGATTTTTACCTTTTATGGAATTGTACTTGGGATAAAACTCCCCTACTATATAAAGGGGATCTAATTATTCATTAGCAACATTGTAACACGCATATCAACGCAATATACTCTTATTTTCTCTGTTATTCAAAGTTCTTACTTTTGTTCATCAGTTCATCATTAACGTGAGCCCGGGATCGAAGGCAGGCATTCCATTAAAGCTGCTACTGAGTCCGGGATCACTTCCCTTAATTGGTTTGACAATTTATTACGTCTTTTATATATTTAATTTAATCTAACGCGATTCATCATTTGTATTGAATTAATCCGCGTATCCTTAAAACCACTTATAAATTTAATTGTTATCCGTTTTTAGGGTAAACAGTATTAATAAGGCATTTCTGAGCAAGCCATAAACAGAATCTTGAGAATATAATATTTGAGGAGAAGAGATAAAGCACTCAGGCAGAAAGGTGGTAATTGGTCGAAACGTCAGAATGTTGAAATGTTACTTCTAACAATAATAATGGGTGAGCCAATCAAGTACTCAACTTTTTGATGTCTTTTCTACAACAAAAGAACAGATTGGTACACAGGAAATCCACGTACACTAAAAATGAAAGGCAACTCAGGTAATTTATGTTACATTCTGAGTAGTGATTACTTGTCCTTGACATGAGCTTATCAGGAAGCTTGCATCTCATAAAGAAACCTGAAAGTAATTTTGCATCTCATAGAAGTGCTTATTCTCTCAATTTAACTTAGGTTTATTTCATTTCTACGAGTCATTCATGTATCCTTTTCTCAAGTCAATGTATATTCTATTTCAGAGGTCCGATGTTAAGCTATATCTAGCCATATTATTTATTTATTCATCTAATATGTTTTTTGTAACTGATAAATCCCTCAAGGTCTGTGGCGCACAGTTTGATACTCGGTGGATAATGGGCACACTCCATCTACCCTTCTCCACTTAATACCAAGGCTTTGTCTATGGCAAGGTTCGAACCCGTGACATGCGCTTAACTCAAACATCATGCTGCTTTCTTACAAATAGAAAGCCCCAGGCAGCTATATCTAGGCATATCAAATTAATTTTTCAACACCATATCAACCTTCTTTCTTAAAATTGATTTCTAGTGCCTAACATTCAGCTGTGACCTATGAGATACACCTAAAACACCTGACATTCATCCATATATATGTAAGGACCTCATATCCTATATAGTTTGATACTTTGATTCGAGATGAAAACTAGAGAGATTTAATAGACTGAGGAATTCTAATAGACTATCTACATCATAATACTTGGAAAAGCTTCAGCAATGTTAAACTTTCAATCTAGTTCAATTCAAGATGAAAACTAGAGAGAAATGCTCGCATATTGCGGTGGTTCAATAGAAGAGAATAGGATGGAAGCAAAAGCCTCTCATAATGTCCCTTTTTCCTATTTGGCAAGCAAAACAGAAAGGGAAGGAAAGTTTTCCTTATCTAGAGGTGACAAGTTTACGCTGCTCTGAATATGGTGGACCACTTGGATGGAAAGAAACAGTAGATGTTTCGAAGGAAACAGCAACTCCTTACAGAAGATCAAGATGAAATGTCTTTTTTTGTTTCACTTCTGGTGTAAGGAAGATTTTGTACAGGATGTAGATTCAATGATAGATATCATAGGATCACTGTAGTAGGAGATAGCAGATAGCCTTGGTTTTTGCTCTTTTTGATATGTGGCCTTAGTACAGCCTTTTTGCTACAATTATATAATATTTTACCGTTCTCAAAAAAAAGTTTACACTGCTCTAATGGAAAGTGCTTTAGATTTTCTGTTTTTCTAGAGGTAACAAGTTTCCACTTCAACACAGCCCGTCTAACCCATTTTCACATTATGCTCAAAGTACTTCTGATTGAAAGGTTATACAATACCTTCAAGATGAAATATAGCCTTCTGACCCAGGCGCATCCTATGCTCCTGAAAGACAGTGAGAAATTTTCTAAATTAAGAAATGTTTTAATTTTCTTTTTATAAATCTGCATAATTCATCCATGCACAGCAAAAATTTCCAGAAGAATCTATAAAGCAGAAGAGCACTATAACCTAATGAATCATATGACATTGGATAAAAAGCATCTGTTAGCTGCCCCCCNTAATCCTTTCTAGTTACCTATTGCTTCAATATTTGTGCCTACCTGGATATTAAGTAATTTTCTTCTGCATATCATAGTAGTGATGTTGGTCTTCTTTTAGGGAAAAACCAACTCAAATCAAACCGCAAACACCCTTACCTTCCAGCATGTTTAACCAATTCTAAGTTCACACGTGGACCTGAATCCGACTTACAAGTGTGAGAATAAAAGGTTGATTCTAGTACCACGTGAATGAATTTGGTCATCCAATCCAAACCCGTAAGGCAATGGTTGGGGTAGTCAAGACATCCATAAGTTCCTTTGATTCCCTTAAATATCCAACGTGCTACATTATGTAGCTCAACAACTTACATAATAAGCAGCCCAGTGGGACACCTCATGCTTCAACTCTGAATCCAATTTCTTCAATAGTTCGAAAAGCAGCCTCTGCAGTCAAAGGCAGAATCAATAAAAAAAACAAAGGATTTCTAACACCTTATAAGAGAGGAAGGTGAAGCACCTGGAGAAAGACCTTACCTTCAAAATAATTTCAGGTGGAATACAATTTGTTAGTAGTTCATATAACTTTCCCCTAACCTCAAACAACCTGAAACAAATGACATTGCAGTTTAGATAAAGAGGCAAATGTATTATAGTTTTGAGGTGCTGTCATTAGTACAAAAAGGAGACAAGTTATGTTGTCCACGCTCTAGAAGTTCAGCCCTGGCGTGCCGGGGGTGTTAAGTGTCCCACATTGGTTGAGAGAATTAATTGTTGTCTCCTTATAAGGTCTTAAGCAATCCTTCATCATGAGCTATCTTTTGAGTTTGAGTTAGGCCTAAGGTCTATTTTCTTAGCAATAACATACTCTTCTCTTTGCACTCAAAAGCCTAGACTCCTCCACTATACAGTTTCCCTTTTCTCAAAGTTGAACCTTCAGTTGCCTTGTATCTCTAGTGTCAGCCTCTAGTTCTAAAGTTAGACAATCAAAACACAGTTATCCAGAACACATTGACATAATACTTCAGAGCTGGAAAAGAAAAAAAGGCATCTTTGTCATCATAAAGCATAAGCTTCTGAATCACTTGCTGGACATTAAATACCCTATTTAGATGGACGCGGCCGTACCTTTTAGGGCTCTGCTCTTTCATTATGTCTGATGCAATTTCTGAAAGATATTGCTCCCAGTCCATTGGAGGTATAGCTTGGTTGTTTGTGAAGGGATACCTTAGGCAAATAGTACAAGGGGTCAGCACATGCATAAGGAAACTCTGGTGCAAATAGTTCAAATAATATGTGAAAAGCTTGGATTTAGCAGCTCAAGCTAGCAAGAAGCTAAGACAAAGCAGTCCAGCCAAGGTGTTACGAGCTCAACTGTTGAACACGACAAGTCTCAAAAGTCAAGACTGCCCTCCTCAGATTCCTATTTGACTTTTCCACAATACGAGCAGCAAATCCTTGTGGAAGCTGAAGTCCTTCCTTTTTGGCAATAAAATCCAAAACATTAACAATCTGCCAAACAAGAGATATTGTTAGAAAATTTCAGGAATGCACCAAATAATCAAAGAACATGTCAACATTTGCTACATGACTAACCAGGCTGTATATATACTCGGATTTATAGCCTGTTTGGCCAAGCTGCAAAAATAAGCTTATTTTGAGAAGTGTTTTTTTCTCAAAAGTACTTTTGGTGAGTAGCAGTTTGTGTTTGGCTAATTAATTTGAAAAGCACTTCTGAGCAACAATTAGTGTTTGACCAAGCTTTTAAAAACTGTTTTTAAGTGTATTTTTCTCAAAAGTGCTTTTCAAAAAAGTCCTTTTGGAGAGAAGCTACTTTTTTCCTGCTTCTGCTTCTCCTCAAAAGCACTTTTTTTTCTTCCAAAAGTTTGGCCAAACACTTTAACGTTGAAAAAAAAAATATTTTTTGGAGAAGCTTGGCCAAACAGGCTATTAGAAAGTTTTAATGATTTATAAGACTCAGAGAACTTCCTGATGGACCTACACCAACGTAAATTACGCATTAGGTCAACTAGAGTTACAGGGTCCTCAAAACAATATGTTGTATAGCCCTTCAGTTGAGGTGATTTCTAAAGTCAAATATTAATCTTAGACACGTCTTTTCCTGGATACAACATGTTAGTGGAATATCATTGAATCATGCCTATCCATGATTAAACAAAAACTGAAATAGGATCAAGAAAATGATCAATTGTTCTTAAACTTTATCCAAATATAACGAAAGAATTCAAATGGTAGAAAAAATTAAACAAACTCATGTGACGATAAGTTTTACAAGTATGCTACACTTATATCCTACTACTGTATAATGTGTTGACTAGGTAAATGTTCTCCTTAATGAGCCTACATCTATTATCTAAGGCACAAATTGGTATATAAGAGTAAAGACTGCTCAAACTATTTCAACGATGAACAAACACCCTTTTCTCAAAAAGTGCACTTTCAGTGTCACACAATTAACCAACACAACTGACTACGGGCATTTATAGTCCACCTCGTCTAAACAAGTGCAGCAGGCTACTACACTTAGCACTCCATTTGGTGAGTCAATGTATACTACGTTGACCATTAAATACGGCATTTACAGTCCACCTCGTCTAAACAAGTGCAGCAGGTTACCTCTCTTAGCACCCATTTTGGTGAGTCAATGTATGTCATTACTGAAAAACCCTCCACCATTAAATGGGTCCTGGAGGCAAGACCAGGAACACACTAGTCTAAAGCAAGCCTGAGCCTAGAAGATGCAGGCAATTGTTATACAGAACACACTTCCACTCCTGACTTTGTAGTATACAATGCAGAAAAAAAAAGGGAAAAGAGAAGAAGACATAGTTGTCATATCAACTGTGGGACAACTGAATTTCACTGACCTCTTCCTCCATTGGCGCATTTATTCTCACATTAAGGCATCGTGAGCGGACTGCTTCAGTAACCTTTGAAGAACTGTTGGAGCATAGAATTAGGCGGCACGACGCACTGTACTTCTCCATTGTTCTTCGAAGAGAATGTTGTGCTTCTCTTGAGAGCTTGTCAACTTCATTTAGCACTAATACTAACATTTACCAAAATGAAATATTATCAGCTAGGTAGCTTATATAAGTAATCCACAAATTACAAGTAATACGGCATATCTACATAATGCTGCTGGGAAACAGTTGAAACTCTGGAAAATAATATTTCAAAGTTGATAAAATATTTCAGTATCTTTTTTTTTTAACTCCCCAACTATTATTTCTTACCTAAACTAATTTCTAGAGGAAATCACCTTAGATTATCAGTCTTCTTGCCCTGTTTCACCTTTGTCATGCTATCTCACATGAATCTTTTTTTTCCCTTCTGACAAGCAAGGTATAACAGATGACATGTATTTCCCTTATAAAAAAAACATGACATGTATTTCAGTTACAGTTCAAATTTGCAATATATGAGAACTATTTTGGCCCACATTATGCATCAATATATATATATGTTTTTTTGTAAGTTAACTGAAATTTTGTCAGGGTACTTAGCCATAATATTTAACATAATAGTAATAAGATATTTTAATGTTTCGCCATTTTGTAGATGATTGCACTGCAGATCGCAGCAGATGCTCTTTGTGTGCATCTCCTCTCAATAATTTGATAATAGTCAACTTTAAATGTCCGAATTCAGGAGGGAAATTCTTCAGAAGAAATTTTAAACATTTTTTTTAAAAAGAGGCAGAGAAACGAAATATTGGCCTAAATGGTGGAGAGTGGAGAGAGTAAAACAGCTATGACCAAAATGGTCCCTTCATTATTGCATAAACAAAATAACATGCTTCTGAAGCTGCTATGTATAACCAAGCATAATTTATTAGAAACTAGCATAGTACAAGAAAACATGAACAAAGCCATACTTGAAACTAAGAAAACTTTTATAGCTCCCACAGAAGATACGAGCATGCAAGGCGAGGAAGACGGAGATAGGGGGCAAGCTCAGAGAAGAGAAATCCAATCCAAAATGTTGTGGTAAAGGTCATAACGCCAGAGGAATCATTACCGCAAGGCATAGAGGGGGAGGTCATAAGCATCTATATCGTAAAATCGATTTTCAATGGAATGAAAAAGACAAATGGTAGAATCGTAACCACAAAATACGACCCTAATCGAAATGCATACATTTGTCTCATACACTATGGAGATGGCGAGAGGAGATATATTTTATATCCCAGAGGGGCTATAATTGAAGATGCCATTGTTCTGGTGTAGAATTTCCTATAAAAATGGGAAATGACCTACGTTTGAGTGTAGCTTGAACTATCGATTTACGTAATTCGATATAACATGACAAAACCTAGAAAAACTCGAAGGCTATTTATGTCGACAGTTGCATATTAAGGACCAAAATAAACGTATAGCTATTATTAATGAACTATTTTGGTTCTTTCTTCCAATCAAAAAATTGAGATTTTAGTTCATCAAGTGACTAAAAACCACCGAGTCTGACAATATAAATGGGCTCCAAGGGAACAGCACTTCAAGAGAGAGGCAATCTGCTCAGACGAAGGCAAACAGACAATTATTTAGCAAAACTACACCTCAACATCTAAGTGCCACTTGCATAAGAAACAAAGGTAAAGTTTAAATCATAGACAGAGGTAGAGTATGGCATCTTTCAACATACTCTTAAAACTAACTGACTTATTTTTAAGGAAATAATTTTTTTTAATCCCTCCCCAAGAACTCCCCAATTTGCTCCCTTGGTGACTCAAACTCGCAACTTTTGGGCTGGAGGTGAATGGTGCTTACCACTTGAGCAACCCTCTCTTGTCCTCTTAAAACTAACTGAAGTTGAAGACACTATATAACCAAGTACAACCAAAGTCCAAGGTGTAGCTTTATCATCATCCCTTCAAGAGGTCCAAAGTAGAAGGTTTTGAGTGCTCTCCAAAAAAGCCCAAGTTCAGTAAAGAGATTATATCCATTTAGTTTATCTTCACAATAAGAAATTTGGGCCTCAGAAGAATTGGCTTTACTTTCAAGACACTCTTCTATCAATTAATTCCTTACTTGGGCGAATAAGAAAATCATTACATATCTTAAACCTTTTCCCATTACTCTTTCCTTTCCTGGGTTGGCCTCTATTTAGTCTAAAAATGAAGCTGGTATTAGTGCTGTCAGCCTTTTTCATTGCATCCTTGACATGGTAAGGTCTTAGGACCCTACTCCATATAAAACCACGTGAACAAAAAACAACACGCCTCAATCCCAAACAAGTTGGGTAGGCTGTATGAATCCTAGCTGACCGTGTTACTCCATTTAGGCTCATCACATGCCAATATTATGTGAATACAAATGAAAAGTATTAGGAGTTTGCAAAATAAAACCACATGAACACAGATGAAAATAAAACATAAAAGGTGAGTCAGAACTTCTACAACTTCTCCATGGATTAAAATCAAAAGATAAAGTTGTTGAATCACCTTTAAACCCCTTCTTTCCTTTAGTGTCAATTGGTCTATTCTTGGCCATTTCTTTGATTATCTCTTGAACAACGTATCTATCCTGAAATCCAGCATCACTTGGACTCAATTCCACGTGGTGGGTGCTTGACAATGTTGTAAGCTCCACATCAATTGTCCTCGTACCAGCCTGAGAAGAAAAGCATAAATCAAATTAACATTACTAAGATCTCAAGCGAATCACCATGCTTGTTTTCAATTCCCGGAAAACGAGTATGGATGAATCCCAGCCAATGCAAGAAGTAGTGCTCCTCGTCGTTTCCTTTTCTAACTAATTTTTTCCTCTCTAGCCAAATGTCTCTCACCTCACAGATAACATCTCCATCTACTCTTGAATATCAAATTTCTCAGTGTTGACAAATAGATTAGAGGCATACTTGCACAAAAAGAGGGATCTGTTTTCTCAAATGCAACAACACCCTCAATCCCAAGCAAGTTGGGGTCGGCTATATGTATCCTCAGTCCCTCACTATCCATGTAACTCCATTTAAGGTCATCACAGTCCAATATGTTTTCTCAAATGCAATAAATAATTAAATATTGTTAATATGTAAAGAATGTATCAAAGTAAGTTTATGAATAAGTACTTTTTTAATTAGAATTTTTATGAATAAATACTTGAATTAATCAGTTCCAGACATCAACTGAATCAAAGTAGCTTTCGTAACCGATAACACATTTCGTTTCATTTTGTGGTACTCTAAATTTTCTGCCTCTTTACATGGAAAAAGCATTATGAGGAATCAAAAGGATTATCATGATTTTGACACTTCTGTTTATTTCAATTTAACTAGCAATACTTCTCCTGAAGTTAAAATTTATGGCACTTGTGCATTCACATGTTGCCTAACCCTTTTATACTTTAAACTTGAAATCCACATAATATGTTACTAAAACAAAGAGAAAAAATACACATGCACATGGGTACAGTAAAACTAAAAATTCTAAAAGAATTAAAGAATATAGAAAGAAAGAAGGATATCAGTTGCAATTGATCCCTAACCATGGAAGTCACTGGTTGTTGTCACTTTTACCAAAAGTGGATCTCTAGTGATTGCACCCTAAGTTTTGTTAAAACAATATAAAACCAATTATACTTGACTTTTTTCATCCATACAAATTGTGTGAATACATCCTTTCCCTCTAGCATCAATGTCTGATGATAAGTCATGCATTTTATATTTAAAGCAAATACACATTAAAAAAGAATTTCTACTATTACATGTGCATCATTCAAGCTGACACCAGTGTTTTAAAAAGCGACGAAGCGATCGCTTTAAGCGAGAAGCGACGCAAAGCGATGGCTGCTCGCTTTTCCATGCCTGAGGCGACTCGACCACACGAAGCGCTCGCTTCAGTCGAAAAAGCGCGAAGCGACCTTGAAGCGAGAAGCGCAGAATCGCTCGCTTCTGTTCAGAGAGGTCAGTTTTTTTAAAAGAAAAAGTTTGGGTCTGTTTTTTTATTATACAAAACATATCCCTAAGACCAAAGTAAAGACCATTTCTCTCTTCTTCCCAAAATCAATTGTTGTTGAGTACTGCTAGGGTTCAAGTCGCCAGAAACCTCCTCCAATACTCCGGGTAATTTTTCTTCTTTTTTTCTTCTTTCTTCTTCTTCTCCTTCTCCTTTTTTTCTTTCTTCTTTCTTCTTCTTGTTCCCGTCCAGGCGTCTGCTCACAGCTAGGGCAGGCACGATTTATTTTTCCTTTTATTCTTTTTATTTAGTATTTTAGCCTTTATTTATTAATTTGTATGTGTATTTCAATTTATAAAGTTAATTATTATATATATATATATATTATATTTTCAGTTTATTTGATTAGTATTTTAGCCTTTATTTATTAATTTTTATGTATATTTCAGTTTATAAAGTTAATTATATATATATATATATATATATATATATATATATATATATNCTTCTCGCTCTCAAAAACACTGGCTGACACAATATCAATCATGAATTGTTGCCACAAAAAACTACAGCAAAGGAATAGGATTTTCTAGCCAAGCTACTGACCCTTTTTCTTTTCTTTTACAAACCAAAAGAATTTATTAAAAGAACATCAAGATCATGATAACTTCACAAAAGAAGTTCAGCTGCACTGCACATTAAATCTCCCACAACTCTAACCAACTATCTATAAGTAGGTATGGCCGCTGTGCACCAAAAGTATAAGAGGATCAAAATAGAACTTTTCACTCTTCACTCAAAGCTCTCAACGCTTCAAAAATTCCCTATTCCTTCCTCTTCAACTTCACCAAAAAACAAAATGCAAAAAACACAAAGAATGCAAAAACTAAAGCTGTTGCTCATTAAAGATAACCTATTTTCTGTTCTGTGCCATCCACTTTCTGAACAATGTAGGAATGACAACTACAAGTCAAACACGAGGGCAGAAAATATTAAGCTCTAGAAATGCAAGAAGAGAAAGATAGATGAGAACAGAGCTGGTGCTCATTAATAGCAGGAATGAAGATTAAGGGGAATAGATGAAATCAGTCAGCTATTAGCTTTTTTAGAACCCTTCAAACTGGACAGTTCAAAGAATGACTCACTGGTGTGGCTGACGAACAATGAAGGAATTTTTACAGAAAGTAGCTGCTATAATATGTTTCAAGAATATTTGAATAATTGGAAGGAGACATGGTCTTGGAAGATGATATGGAAGACTAAAGCACCATCAAAAGTGGCATGTTTTGGCTGGGTTGCTACTAGAAATGCTTGTCTAACTCAAGATCTGCTCAAGAGGAGAGAATTTATAATGTGTGCAGGTGCTATCTATGTGAGAAAGAAGTAGTATCAAGAAATCACATACTGATTAACTGTGTTTTTGCCTGGCAAACTGGACTGTTGTGTTATGTTTATTTGGAGTGCACCGGGTGATACCTAGAGATGTGCAAGAGTTTGTGAAGCTGGAAGGCACAGAAGATTGGAGGAAACAGAAAGAAAATTTGGAGAACAGCTCCTTTATGCATCTTACGGACTGTATGGTTGGAAAGGAATAGGAGGTGTTTTGATAAAAAGAAGAAACAGATAGCAGTTGTAAAGTATAATTGTTTAGAAAATCTGTTGCATTGTTGTAAGGAGATATTTTATACTTTTTAGATTCATTGAGATGAGTGTGCTTAATGGCTATATGGTGACCTCTGTACGAATGTAGTTTTGTATTTTGCACTACCATCTTGGTACTTGCAATATTTACTTATCTTATAAAAAAAGATTAAGGTCATTCTTAAATCCCATTTTCCTCTTGCCTCTTTTAGCCAACTAAAGTATCTTTTTTTATGAGCTTAGCTAGACTAAAGTATCTGTATGGCCACTAAAAATCAACATACACAGTGTACTCCCACAAGTGGGGTCTGGGGAGGGTAGTGTATACGCATACCTTAATCCTACCTTGTGGAGGTAAAGAGGCTGTTTTCGATAGACCCCCGGCTCAAGAAAATCATTTCTAATCAGGATTGAAAAAAGAAGCAGCCACTAAAAAACATAAAGAAATAGAACAGAATGCTAACTCAATGGGCTATTCATTATGTCATCTAAATATTCCACGTTTATGCAATATGAAGCACAATTTATTGGATGGAATAGATCTTCCAACTTTATTTCCCTCAAGAGCAAACATCTCGAAGACCAGATTTCAACCAGAGTTGGAAGTTTGCAAGTTATTTCCCAAGTTGGATTGGGAGGACGATGGGCTTCATTTTTCTACTTCAGTTTGTATTATGGTTATGCTCTGATTTCGGTAATGTTTGTAATGCATGAGACGAACTTCCTGAGAAATCGTTAAGGCACCAGATTGAGTTGTAATTATTAAGTACCTTTGTCAATTGTTGGCATCTTCAGTTGTTTTTTCCATGTCTTACTTTTAAATAAAAAAAGGCATTGAAATATATCTCTAAACACTTATAGTACCAAGATTTCTTCTTAATGTTTTTCCTTATATTGTTCACCTTGAACAGCCCCTTGCCCCTTTAAAAAATAGGAACCTACTGATCTAAATATTTAGATATATGTACAGAACTAAGAATAATACAGCAATATACAGAATTCACGTTAACATACTTGCACCCTGAAAAAATAAATTCAAGGAAAAGCTTACATCAACTTTCCAAATCTTGTTCTCAACCTTAACCTGCATCAGTTGTCCAAGCAATGGAAACCATATTACTTTAGAGATCAATTAAGCAGGTTCAAATTTTTGGCGAAGAAAACACATAAAAAGAAATCACTTGAAAAGAGACACAATTACCTTATCGGCACTTGGACCAAAAATCTGCCTAAGAAGTGCCATAATCAGAGTTTTCTTTCCTGACCCGGAAGGGCCATAAAAGAGAAGATGAGGACAATCTCCCTCTGACACCTATAGTAATCATAAAGAAAAGGGTCACAAACAGTGAATAATTCGAGAATTCACAAAGGTGTATACTATATGTAAAAGAAGTTTTACCAGCTTTTGAAGATTTTGAGCAACATCCTGGTGGACAATAACTTTGTCTAGGGTTTTGGGGCGGTACTTGTCAACCCACAACATCTTCAAATTCGAGCCAAACTACTCTAAGAGAATGTGGAGAACAGGAGCCTGAGAGCAGATAATAGGCGACAATTTTTTATAATTCTTATGCTAGACCAAAATGGAAAGCCCTGTGATTTTTGAAGTTTAATTTTCCAATTACATATTAAACAATCCCCAAGCGAAGCTACCGAGTTTTTACAAGTAATCTTGTTAATGACGAAAAGGGGAAGCTTCAAGTAAATAAAAAAAAAACCTATTATGGAATAAAAAGCTAGACAAACTAAATAAGTCTGATCGAAATCACTAAATAAAGTGGTATGCAGAATTTCACTGTCAAAAAACTCAAAAAAAATAAAATAGCAAATAGAAAGATCATGAAGTAAGCAGCTATTATCAGAGGCAAAGAAAGGCTCAGGTAAGGGGTAAAGTAGTATAAAGCCAAGCATTTCTTAGGATATACTTCCGCCAAAAAAAACGAGAAATACTCTATGCACAATGGGCATGCACGTGGTCAGTCAAGTTGTATGCAAAACTAGTTCTTCGAAGAAAAATAAGCACAAAATAACACAGGCCTTAGGTAAATTTTCGACCAAAAAGATGCTTACAAGCTGCTTCTTCAATTTAATTTAAAGTAGAGGGTTTACAATTGTTCGCAAATCCAACTCTAAAAATCTTCATTCTTATTTTTAACTGAAATTCATCAGATTTTTTGTGACTTTCGAGATTCGGAAACAAAGAAAAGGGAAGAAATTTGACCTGATTCGCGACCAACTTTCGGGCCAGTGAATGAGCAGACTAAAAAGAGACAATTGCAGCAGAATGAGTAAATCAATTCACCGCCAAATGCGAACGATGTCGTTTTCGCCCTGCTAGCATGGGCTACTTACTAGGGTTGGGCCTATTGTATAGGCCCACAAAGCTATAAATGGCATTAGATATCCACTTTGAGCACCCCTATTTAAAATGTATCCAGTTTTTAAAAATTATGTAACGTTTAATCAACTTTAAGCACTTAAGACCATTCGCAACTTAACGTAGCATTGATTTTATAATGATTTACAATAAAAACACCGCTTATTAATTAATATGATGCATGTTTGAGTGTTGTGCCGAATGTTTTTCTGTAGGATATGAATAGAGCTTTCATTTGATTCTATCTTGTTTAGGGTTATGCAGCTGCAAACTTGACTTGCAATCTGACTATATGGTTGAAAAGTTAGGCTAGTCATGCAAATTTTTATATTGAAAACAAATGCTCTATAAGTGATACGGAATTATTATTGTGAAATTAGTTTTTTATAATTTTTTTATTTATAGCTACCAAAAATATCTGACTTTGGTAGATGGTGGCAACCACAACTTCAGCACAATGTGATCTCCGCTATTCTTTAGTATGGATCTTGAGAGTGGGGACACATCACCTACTCCCACAACAAACTTTCTTTGAATGCTGCAAAAATTATTTACAAAATAATGAAAGGGTAATTTGGGCAATCAATATGAGATTTGCTTCCCTTTAATATGTAATATGTAAGTTCCCAACCGTAATATGACGAGAAAGTGGCCCATGACGAACTCATCCAGCATTTATATTTAATGATGAATTTAATATTCATATTCTCACCATTAATTTGTTACATTTTTGTAGTTACGTATGAGTTTAATGTTGATTAAAATATTAATCATTATATTTATACTCTATCTGGAAAAATATTAAATTCAGTACAACTTATTAAAACTACAATTAAGGGTTACATGGGTCGGGTTGGTTCAGATTTTCTAATTATCAAACCAAATCAATTGTATCCGGTTATTAAATCTAAATAACAAACCAAACCAATAAAAGTCAGGTTTTTTAATCTTGTTTTTCTCGGGAGTTTTGGGTTTTCGTTTTTTTTTTCTTCATAAAGTCTTCATAGCACAAAACGTAAAATTTGTACTCCAAATATTTCTTTAATCCTAGTAAGACAGAACTATATAAGGTATTTTTCAATAAAATAATATAAATATGAGATGAGTCATGCATTGTACTGAAATATTCAACAATAAAGATAATAAAATCGCATAAAATAAATATTATTAATAAGCCATAATGAAAACAAACATAATTTAAAATTATGACTAATAAGTACTATTATTTACATGACTAACCACTAAAAGAAAAATAAGTTATACATTTTATCTAAACCATGGAAAAACTAAAAAATAAATATCCAACACTATTTTCATCCATAGTACAATTGAATTGAATGTCTTTTATTAGCATTAGTATTGATTTGATTTTGGTTTAGGATTTATTTGAGTTACTAACATTTATGAATTATAAAACTTATTGGAGCATCCAAAAATTATAAGCTCAAGCTTGAAATAATACGTTAAAAGATAAAACTGTGAAAAAGTTTAAGAAATATTTATAAACTACACTACCATAAATATTTGTATGTATTAAATATATTTAAAACTTCTACACATATAATGCCGGGTTTGTTTGGTTTCTGTTTGACTTTTTTTAGTTAAAACCAAACCAAATCAAATATGACGGAGTTTTTCTTTCCAACACCAAACCAAATCAAATCAAACCATAGTCGGTTTTTTTTCTCGATTTGACTCATATTATCGGAATGGTGTGATTTGTCGGTTTCATTTGTACAACCCTAACTAGAATACGTCTACGTATACAAGTACTACCGAATACCAGTGTTTGTGGGCATGTCGCTTTTCTAGTTTCTTCACCAACTACAGCACACCAACTTCTTAATCCCACCCACCGTGCAACTTTTTCTTTGGAGTTTTCTGAAAAGGATTATATTTATATTCAGGCTCAGCGCAAAAAGAATGGAGTTTGAGGATTTTCTTTTGGTTAAAGATTTTGAGGATTAAAATTTAAACAATTTTTATACAAAAAATCTATACTTGTTTAATATTTTAGAAAAAAATATATATATTTAAAATTTACTTATGTTGTTACTCTAAATTTAAGAAAATGATATAATTAAAATATTTTTTAAAAGTTGAAAATTTCATAGTAAATAATGTTAATTTCCAAGATTTTATAATATAAAATAGGACCGATCGAGCATCTAAGATAAATAAATAAATAAAAATTATTATAAACTTTACACTAGAATACATTTGTTAAAAATTCTAGTTTGTTTAATTAATGTCGGCTCATTAAGCTTTCATATGGTTCCAGTTGCTAAAATATGCGAAGTTGATAGTGAGTTGAATGGTCTGAAACCAAAGTAGATCCAGCTGACAAAGTAGAAAAGTATAGCTCCCTTTTTTCACCAGATATTTAGAAAAAGGAAAAATATATATTTCAGAAATCAAATGATCTAAACAAAATAGATCTTAAAATGAAAGAAAGGAGGAGATTTATAGAATTACATGTCAGCTGTTTACATTATTAATTTATTCGAAAGTCTTAACAAAAAAGAAAAAAAAAGAAAAATGAAAGAAAGCAGGAACGTTGAAGCATCAGTTATAAGAATCATTTTTGCTACATTGGTAGAATATAGAGTGAGAGTGTAGTGTATTTGCAACATGAATGAATTCCCTTACCTTAGAATGAAAGTAACACAGAATCAGACAGCAGCATTAATTGTTTTGCTCAAATGAAGTAAACCCAATAACTTCCTCAAACCTCAGTTCCTATGCTGGTTATATACTCCGACACCCAAGTCTGATTCTAGCAAGAAAAGTTGATTTTCATTTTGCCCCCTCAGAAACTTGAAAATGCTCTATTTGCCAGTTAAATATTCCAAATTAAGTGTTGTTTTAGCCAAATTGGTCCTTAGGAAATCAATAAGGCATTTTTTGTTTCAAATTTAACCTTACTCCAATAAATGATAAAAAAAAGTTGTAAGAGAGATAAAATGATAATTTGAAGAGATATCAGGATCATTTAGTCAACTAACCTTACGATTAATGCTATTAAATTATTTTTTCTTAATAGATATTCCAAAACATTAAATCACACTTATTTTGAAATTTGAACCGAATGGAGTTTATTCTTTCTTTTTCCAAGGTGGGAATATTATCAATTAAACTTATTCTCATTATTTATAAATTTAATTTGTAATAGTTACGTTTACCATATGAATTATACTTATTATTATTATTTTAAATGATATGTAAATACTAGTACTATATTTATAAATGCATAACTTAAACTAAAACACAAAACTTAGGAGACCCACGTGATTTTCTACAATTGTTGGGTTAGGAGTAAGAACTTAGGTATAACAGCCTCTTTGGCCAAGCTTCACAGCATATTATTTTTTAAAAGTATTTTTTTTCTTAATTTGAGGTATTTGGCCAACCTTTTTTTGAAAAAAATACTTTTTGGTTAGAAACAGAAAAAAGTAGTTTCTCCCCAGAAGCAGAAACAGAAGCAGTTTTGACTTTTCTTCCTACCAAAAATATATATCAATAAAAAAAAAAAAAAAAAAAAAAAAAAAAAAAAAAAAAAAAAAAAGAGAAAGCACTTGTAAGTTATTTTTACAGTTCGGGCGAAGAGGCTATAAGTTGCCATTTCCATTTTCAGACGCAAAATCAGTTGCTCGTTTCCATTGTTGTTACTTGTTAGCGCGCCAACAAAGGGTAGAATTACGGAGTATTACCTTTTAGCACTCCATTTTTATTTGCTGTGGTTTTTTTAATTATTTTTTAATTTCCAGATCTACCATTGCCACCAACTCTGAATCTCCCATTTTCTCCTATATAAACACCATACACTTGCCCTCTTCAAACTCGCGTCAGCCCTTTTTCCTCTGCTAATTTTGTGTCGAAGAAACAGTCATCTTTCTTATCACTTCTATCTCTTCCTATAGGTACGCTCTGTCGTTGCTGCCTTTTGTGGGTCTCCCTGTTTTACCTTGTACTATTTCTACTGCTTATCTTCTTTCTGCTTCTCTTTGCCCACGTTCATATACTTCTTTTTTCAAATTACCATATTGGTTTCTTCATTTGATTCAGATCTATTGGTATGATAGAATTCTTGATTCATTTGCATATTGCACGTATACCCAAAATTCTACTATATTTTATCCTCATGCTCACGTTCAGATTTCTTTACGAGTTCAGTTCTTTGTTTTACTTCACATTTATTTAAATCTATTGGTATGAACACATTTGTAGATCTAGTTTAATGTATACATCCTTTTTGGTTGATGCAACTTAGATCTGGAGTTATAGATCTAATCTAATTAATTAGATCGTTCAATTCGTTGAGGATTTTCTTTGCAACTTTTCATTCTTTGCTTGTTTTCTCTTTTACATTTTCTAAGGTTTCATAGACTCTGCTTTGCAACAATTCACCTCGTTGTGCACAATATTTCATATTTAAGAAAAGAATGGATCTTTACTAGTATGTCTTTACTATATCAATGGGTTGTTGTTGAATACTTGTCTGACTGATTGAATTTGGTGAAGCAGAAAAATGGCATCTCACATAGTTGGATATCCTCGTATGGGCCCAAAGAGAGAGCTGAAATTTGCTCTCGAATCTTTCTGGGATGGAAAGAGCAGTGCTGAGGACTTGAAGAAGGTCTCTGCTGATCTCAGGTCATCCATTTGGAAACAGATGGCTGATGCTGGCATTAAGTACATTCCCAGCAACACATTCTCTTACTATGATCAGGTGCTTGACACAACTGCTATGCTTGGTGCCGTCCCATCTAGATACAACTGGACCGGTGGTGAGATCGGATTCGACACTTACTTCTCCATGGCCAGAGGAAATGCATCTGTCCCTGCTATGGAGATGACCAAGTGGTTTGATACCAACTAGTGAGTGACATGAATGTCATTTGAATCAACAATTATTATTATTATTATTATTATTATTATTATTATTATTATTTTGGTTTCATACTGATCATAACTATTTGATCCAGCCACTTCATTGTCCCTGAATTGGGACCTGATGTTAACTTCTCTTATGCTTCTCACAAGGCAGTGGATGAGTACAAAGAGGCTAAGGGGGTATGTGACTTTGTATTAATCTTTACTTTTGATTTCACGAGACATGTCCATTGTCTTAGTTATTTGAAAAGAAGCATTATTAATGTAGTGTCCATAGTGGGCTTCACTTTTAGGGGTAACCTTACAGCAGAAACCTTGTGGTCTGTGATACAAATTGGGTGGTGTGGAGAGAAAGAGAGAATATACATGTACATATTCTTTTCAGTTTTTCTCCTTTCAGTTTGTTCAGAGGCAGGGGTTGGTTCATTATTCCCTATATGTTTATTACAACTATAAATTGTCTTGTTAAATTCACTGTTTGTATGTACCTTTGGTATGTTTTCAATCATGGAATTTAGAGATAGGACTGATGACTGATTGATCTTGATCTTTCTCTTCGCGCAGCTTGGTGTAAATACTGTCCCAGTACTTATTGGTCCAGTCTCATACCTGTTGCTATCTAAACCTGCTAAGGGTGTTGAGAAATCTTTCCCCCTTCTATCACTTCTTGACAAAGTCCTACCAATCTACAAGTAAGAAATACACTCTTTTCTTTGTCTCAGTCATCTGTTTCTGTAGACATTCCCATTTTAACTCAAAAACATCATTGCAGGGAAGTCATTTCCGAGTTGAAGGCTGCTGGTGCTTCCTGGATTCAGTTTGATGAGCCTACCCTTGTGTTGGATCTTGAGGCTCACCAATTGGAAGCATTCACCAAGGCATATGCTGAGCTGGAATCAACTCTATCTGGCCTTGATGTTCTCATCGAGACCTACTTTGCTGATGTTCCTGCCGGCGCATTCAAAACCCTCACTGCTTTGAAGGGAGTTACTGCCTTTGGTTTTGACTTGGTTCGTGGAACTCAGACCCTTGATTTGATCAAGGGTGGCTTCCCCTCGGGAAAGTACTTGTTTGCAGGAGTGGTTGATGGGAGGAACATCTGGGCTAATGATCTTGCTGCATCTCTTGAGCTCTTGAAATCACTTGAGGGCATTGCAGGAAAAGGTATGTAACCCACATCTCCACGCTGCACGACTTATTTTGTTGGCGCTTTGCTGCAGAAGATAATATTTTCTGTGAACATAATAATGCAGACAAGCTTGTAGTCTCTACATCTTGCTCATTGCTCCACACTGCTGTTGATCTCATCAATGAGCCCAAGCTAGATGATGAAATCAAATCATGGTTGGCATTTGCTGCTCAAAAAGTTGTTGAAGTGAATGCTTTGGCCAAGGCATTGGCTGGTGACAAGGATGAGGTATACTTCATTCTTACCTTAAAAGGTCTTCGAGAAGAGTGCCTGCCAAAAAATCAAAGTTTGCGATTTTATCCTTACTAGATTATTCTATCATTCATGACCAAATGTTTTGGTTGTATTTTCAGGCATTCTTCTCCGCTAGCGCTGCTGCTCAAGCTTCCAGAAAGACCTCCCCAAGAGTGACAAATGAAGCTGTTCAAAAGGCTGTAAGTGATGAGCTATTTACAGTTTATTTTTTGTCACGACTTTGTTAGGGAGTATGCTTAACTTACCAGCTTGGGCTTCTTTTTTGTTTTGTCAGGCTGCTGCTCTCAGAGGTTCTGACCACCGCCGTGCAACAAATGTTAGTGCTAGGCTTGATGCCCAACAAAAGAAACTTAACCTCCCGGTTCTCCCGACAACCACCATCGGGTCCTTCCCTCAGACAGTGGAGCTCAGAAGAGTTCGTCGTGAATACAAGGCCAAGAAGTGAGTCTTGTACTAGCTCTTGTCATTGTCAATGTTGTCAAACCTGTATTCTGATGATTTGTTTCTAGGATCTCTGAGGAGGAGTATGTTAAAGCCATCAAGGAGGAAATCAAGAAGGTTGTTGACCTCCAGGAAGAGCTTGACATTGATGTCTTGGTTCATGGAGAGCCCGAGGTAAGGCAACTCACATGCTTGCTAGGGGACTGCTTTTTTCTTGCTTTATGCATATTCTGGGTCTTTGATGTCTTCCAATGCATCTTTAGTCACTTTGGATGTTCAATGCATGCAGAGGAACGATATGGTTGAATACTTTGGGGAGCAACTTTCTGGTTTTGCATTCACTGCTAATGGATGGGTTCAATCTTATGGATCTCGATGTGTGAAGCCACCAATCATCTATGGTGATGTCAGTCGCCCAAAGCCAATGACTGTATTCTGGTCCAGCATAGCTCAGAGCATGACCAAGCGCCCAATGAAGGGAATGCTTACAGGACCAGTTACCATTCTCAATTGGTCATTTGTCAGAAATGACCAGCCAAGGTAATTAATATTTGATCTATGTCCCCCATCTGAAATTGTTTTTACGAGTTGATGTTGACGTGCGTCATCTGTCTCCAGATTTGAGACCTGCTACCAGATTGCTTTGGCCATTAAGGATGAGGTGGAGGATTTGGAGAAGGCAGGCATCACTGTCATCCAAATCGATGAAGCTGCATTGAGAGAGGGGTTGCCTCTTAGGAAGGCTGAGCATGCTTTCTACTTAAACTGGGCCGTTCACTCCTTCAGAATCACCAATGTCGATATCCAGGACACTACCCAGATCCACACTCACATGTGCTACTCCAACTTCAATGACATTATCCACTCCATCATCGACATGGATGCTGATGTGATCACAATTGAGAACTCACGTTCCGATGAGAAGCTCCTCTCAGTTTTCAGGGAGGGAGTGAAGTATGGTGCTGGAATTGGCCCTGGTGTCTATGACATCCACTCTCCAAGAATACCATCAACCGAAGAGATTGCTGATAGAGTGAACAAGATGCTTGCTGTTCTTGACACCAACATCTTGTGGGTCAATCCTGACTGTGGTCTCAAGACCCGCAAGTACACCGAGGTGAAACCAGCACTCCAAGCCATGGTTTCTGCAGCCAAGGCCATCCGCACCCAGCTTGCCAGCGCCAAGTGAGCCAGTTGGAAGAAACAAACCCCTCGGGGCATTACTCATGGTGTTCTTTAACTAGAAAAAGGAAATTTTCTATTGAGTTTTAATAATTGTGCTTGCTATGATGTTATTCTGTAGGTTAGTAGTACTGCCTCCCGGGCATCCTATTCTTCTTTTTTCTGTTTTTCTTAGAGCATTCTCTCTCGGAGGAAATCATATCGGCTCTATTTTGATGATGTTATACTCAAATTTATTTCAAAGGCATCAAGAGGATTCATGTACTTTAAATGAATGAAAACCAAAGAAGTGCCATCCTCCGTTTTCATGTCTGTAGGTGATTGTTTGCAAGTCAGCATCTTCTTCTTTGAGTTCTGCTTTGGCATAATAGGTCTTCATTTCTAAACTTTAACCACTTTGTAGCGTTTGTTTTTTTTCAATTTTCGGTTTGACCTGTTAAAATTAAATAATTGGGATCCTCATCTCCAATTTTTATGACGCTATGTTGTTTGATAAAGCTAAGTGAATCCACGTTCAGTTACTTTAATTAGGTTGAACTATATATATATACATTTTATGGAAGCTGTTTAGTGAATTTAAGACATAGTTAAGAGCAAAATTGGCAAGTTCTCCGGAGGTTGGATAATTCTGAGTAGCTCAGTTGGTTGGCTACCTGAATTGTCACCTTGTTGGTGAGAATTTGATTTCCGACCTTGTAATCTTCCCCCCATCCCATTTTTTTTTTTCCTTCCCCTGACCCCTATAAAAAAATTAGAAAAAATATCCGTTTAGATATTAAGTCGTAGATCACTGATGATACAATGAGGGAAATAGAGTGATTGAAATGCGAAATGATGCTTATTTTCATGGTTAATAGTAGTAGACAATTACTCAACCTAACAACAATAACTATTTTCTGCCTGAATCTTATCACACCCCACCTTACTTAAAGGGTATTTAAGGGTCATGCATTAAGTTCATTACGCCCCAATCCAACTAGTTAAATTTAACTGAATGAATTATTTATACCATTAGATTTATTGTTTCGAAAATTCATGTCATTTAATAAACTTTGGCAGATGACAGAATTTCACTACATTGATGAATTGTAAAACGGACCCTATTGGCCTAAATTTTCAGACTACAGGAAGGGCCGAAGGCAGGGGGAAAGGAGGGTCTTAGCCATATGAAATGTCAAAACCCCCTCAACATTACTCAACTAGAAAACATTAGTATGAGCTTGCATATAATTTAACGAGATCATTCATGCGTTAGCTTTACATTTCAAAACTCCCAAGTAGGATTTCAAACTTGTCAGTGTATAACATCTCTTGCTAGAAACATCAGTTCAGCAGCATTGCCAACATCACTCCTTCAATCTGTAGAAACCAATGAAGAATAACAATAAGATCACGTACAACATAAAATGTTGCAATAAGATCAAATGTGAATTCTAATCAACACACAGTTAAATTTCAGTTCGTCTGTTGACTACTAATCTAATGTTGGAATAGAAATGCAAAAAACTGAACCCTGAGGAATTCCAAGACATTGGAAACCAACATGTTTTTTTACAGGGAACTACTAAACGACTAACAAGGGACTCATCTGACACTGTTTACAAAGGTCCAAAAGAAGCTATACCAGAAGCTGTAGGTACGGCAATATGGAACTAATACAGCGTGCACAGAAAACCAAGATGACCATAGAGAACTCTTAATCTTCAAATAATTTTCAAAAGGACGATGAAAACCAGAGCAATAAACTGCTGACCCCCACCCCCACCCCCCACCACAAAAAAATATGATTAAGATTTCGACAAATAGTGAATCAAGATAGCCTTATGGGCATCACCATGTGACATTGTGGGTTAAGATCAGATGTAAGGAAAGGGTTCATTTGGACACACTCAAATGTAACCACCCAACCAACCAAACTAAAGTTAAAAAAAGAAAAAAAAAAAAAAAAAAAAAAGAAGCAAGACAAGCAGGAAAAGAAACCAACATTTGAGACCCTTTGCTTATGACTACATTAGTCAAGACACAGCATCTGAGTATTAGGAACACCTCATTTGCAAGATCACTAGCAAGGAGAGAAGGAAGGGTTTCAAAGCATAAATCAAGCGAAAAAGACGCAATCAGCCAAGCTAATTTAAAAAAGCATTCTAAAGGCCAATAAGATACCAGAAGAAGTTTACTCACATCTACGATATATGCTACTATGTCCACCATAAGGGCCGCGCTCGTGAGACTGCAAGCCAAACAGAAATAACGATCAGAAACTCTATTCTGAGCTACAGCTCAGAAAATGTCAGTCTCTAACATTTTGATCTTCCTTTAATGTTGAAAAGAAAAAGAAATGTCTATAATAATTAAACTTAAAAAGGAGAAAAACAACAAGGCTGGAAGGTCTTGATTAAATAATTTGATAAGAATGTATACAAAGGTATACTTTATCAATTACATTTAGAAACTTTTGTTCTTTAGCAACAGAGCTCAATGGCTAGAGCTTTTCATCCTTCCCGAAATAGAATGAAGAAATTTTGAACTTCTTTAGACACATGCAAGATTCAACACTCAACAGGTATCATCAACACCTACGGACTAAGGAGGAAATCTCCTTAGCTTAAGAACTTTTTCCAGGAAAATAATCATCATAATCAGGTTGTATAAAGTATAAACCACTTCAAGTCATTTTGCAAAAGTGAACTTGCTAATCAGGAATATGAAAAAATCCTAGGTCATTGGACATTGAACAGAATGGAGTTAAAAGGTTTGGAGTTGGTCCATTTACATGCCATTTCTTTCTTTTTCCTTTTCTGGAGGGCTTAAATATGGCCTACTGTTCATACTTTCATAAAAAGAAGATGCATCCCCCACAATTGCAAGTGTATTCTACACAAGATTTGCTTTCGCAACAGTGAGGTATACTACTATCCACATGCAGAATCAAGCAACAAATCTTTTAAAAAAGGTGCAGTTTGCAGGCAATTAAATTGAAAAATATGCAATATACAACAATTAGCATAAATTGGAGCGCTATTCGATTCGAACTATAGAGAAAGGCCCAATTATACCAAGGATCAGATAGGCAACGGAGTTTCAGTTTAAAAAAAAGGATAAAATCTCAATAGAACGAGGTTCAGTTCAGTTCAAATCGGGTGCTCAAGATGATGAATGCCACAAGAGAGATAGAAGAAAGAAGATCTGTCTCGATTCTATCTCTATCTTTCGACAGCTCATCTCTATAATAGAGATAATAATGGGCGGAGAATCCTTGTGTATTCTACTGGTATAGAATCTCTGTGGAAGGCAGGAAGCACAAGTTTGTAAGAGTGTCAGGTGTATATACTATATAATAGAAATGGAATGGGAAATAGCTGGGAACTCCAATGAACAACTGAAAGCTTGCCATGCAAAACTGTGAACAGTAACAACGACCACAGATCATTCATTTCTATACCTGAAAAGAACTCGGAAAGCTTCCGACTCCATAAACTGAACCTGACAAGACACAATAAGGAGACAACTTAAACACTAACACATACTCAGAAGAGCAAAAACTATTGAGTCAAAAATTAAGTCAAGAACCAAGTAATTGCAGTATTAACCCACCTGGTGACTGGCCACTGCCTATCTGGCGATAATAGGCAAAAGATGGTGTAGCAAGAGGTCCACGGCTATGTGATAACATACTGAATGAAAGAAAGCACATAGTCATAAATTACTGAGGTAAAGTATCTGCAAGACACTATCCTAGTTTAAAAAGACGTCCACCAGCAAAGATAATGGTATGAACCTTTGGCTAGCAGTTGGAAAAGAGCTTTCTAACCGCAGTCGAGAAACTCCAACGGAATCTATACGATGTGGATTATCTACCTGCATAGGCAGAAAGAGGGTGCCTCAAAGATAAGTCTAGGTGTAGACGAGAAGCTAGGAACATAAAATGAAAAAGCAGCATAAATACAACCAATTTGCAACTTACTACAGCTGAAAGTGGCCGCTTGCTTCGAGATAACAAATACTGATGGTCAATGCCTGAGCCTTCTCGGGCAAGGACAACAAAAGACAAACATCAATTATATTCAACAGGAAAAGGGGGGAGGGGATTCAAAGGGCAGGGATCTGGGAATGTTTGCAATCAATAAACATTAAACATAACACACATCCTCTAAAAGAAGAAACATCAGAATTATAAAAAGATAAATACATCCTCTATTTTTTTTTTCCTTTACAAGGTAACAGCACGCCCAAACTCCCCTACCCATGACTGCACAACAATCTTTTAATAGTTTGTTCCCTTGATGACTCGAACTCCCGACCTCTAGGTTGAAAGTGGACTGCTCTTTTTTTGATTTTGCACCGGGTGTCCGAGTCTCTTTGAGCCCCGACTAATCCCGGGGGTGCACAGGCCCTCGACAAGGAGTTTCCCGCAAGTGCACCACGGTTAATTCAGGTTTTACCCACTCCGATGGCCCTCAGAAATTGTTTGCACCCAGTGGGTTTCGAACTTGAGACCTTGAAAGGGAGCAAACCCCAAGGCTCAAGTCAATTGCCACCAGGCCAACCCCTGAGGGTTGAAAGTGGACTGCTCTTGCCACTGGAGCATGCCCACTTGTCTAAATTCTTCATCTTGTTACTTAATATTTATCTGGATTCTCCTTCACCCTCGCCCATTCATCTTTCCGTTTGTCTCAAGCATAGGAAAAAAGTACCAATAATTGCAGAGCGCATTGTGCTATGAGATTAACATAGGAAGTCTAGTCCAGCCAATTGTCCGGATCGAGAAGATTAAGACTGTCCAAGCACCAGGTTGGGGCTAAGCTTTCTATTATTTTCAATATACATGTTATTTACCTTTTTTTTTTAAAACACAGATGAAAGAAATCTAATCCCGGCACCAATAAAAGACCGAGATAAAAGGACACTTTGTTACCAATACAAGCATTAGAAGCGCAATCACGATTGTCATTTTCTACCTAATATCCAATCCCGGCACCAATAAAAGACCGAGATAAAAGGACACTTTGTTACCAATACAAGCATTAGAAGCGCAATCACGATTGTCATTTTCTACCTAATATCCAATCCCGGCACCAATAAAAGACCGAGATAAAAGGACACTTTGTTACCAATACAAGCATTAGAA